AGAGAGAGAGAGAGAGAGAGAGAGAGAGAGAGGGAAAGGTTGAGCGATACAAGATTGGGTTGCAGAAGAGCTGAAGGAGAGGATGCCAGCCTGGGCCAAAATGAAGAAGGAGAGTAAGGGACAACTGATTTTGGTAGATGTAGAAGTGTTTAGAAGCAGAGTAGGGGCCCTTATAGACTCAGGGGCCACGCGCAATTACATTAGCCGTAGGGCGTTGAAGAAGATGAGGCTAGGATTAAAAGTCCAAAAGTTGGCAGACCCCATAGTCAGTGTCCTCGCAGACAACCGCACGATGCGAGTTGAGGACTACGTAGAGGGAGTCCAGGCGTACTTTCGCCTAGAGAAAGATGGGAAGATGGAGAAAAAAGTTTTTCATTCCCTGACTCTCCTCGTTCAGGATGACCTTCCTTTCGACATAGTGTTAGGAATGGATTGGGGAGAGGCAGCAGGGGCCACACTCCACTTGAAAGAGCATGAGTGTAGGCTCCCTAGTCCGCCAGGCGAGGTTAAGACTGCCCGCCTGTTTCATGTGTCAGGTGTAGATAACACCTTGGCACATTGTTATCTCAGTGCTCCCACGTTCGCGCGACTAGTAAAAAAGGAACAGTTAGAGGATCAGGTCTTCGTAGTGTATGTCAGACCTGTCACTGAGGCCAAGGAAAAGGATAGTTCCACGGATCCAACCATTGCCAAGCTGCTGGAGGAGTTCAAAGATCTAACTTAGTCGCTGACAGGAGTAGTGCCGCGACCCATCAAGCACCGGATAGAGATAGAGCCTGGCAGTAAGACTCCTAAGGGAGCAGTCTACATGATGTCCCCTAGAAAGTTAGAGGAGCTACGCAAGCAATTAGACGAGCTCCTAGAGAAAGGTTGGATCAGGCCCAGTTCGTCGCCTTTTGGAACACCAGTCATGTTTGTCACCAAAAAGGAAGGAGAGCTGAGAATGTGTATAGACTACAGGGGTTTAAATGCTATTACAGTGAAGAATGCTGAGCCATTGCCCAGGATAGACGATCTCTTAGATCGGGTGCAGGATTGTAAGTATTTCTCTAAGATAGATTTGAAGTCCGGATATCATCAGATAGAGGTCCATCCTGATGACCAGTACAAGACTGCATTCCGGACTAAATATGGGCATTATGAGTACATAGTGATGCCCTTTGGACTGACTAATGCGCCAGCGACGTCTCAGCGATGTATGAACGATCTGTTTAGGTCGTGGCTAGACAAGTTTGTAGTAGTTTATTTAGATGACATCTTAGTTTTCAGCAAGACCCTCCAGGAGCATCAGGGTCATCTGAGGCATGTCTTGGAGAAATTGAGAGAGTCAAACTTCAAGATCAACGCGAAGAAGTGCGAGTGGGCCAAGACACAAGTCCTATACTTGGGCCACATGTTAGACGGAGATGGCATTAAGCCAGAGGACAGCAAGATAGCGGCAATTAGAGACTTGCCGACGCCCCGCACATTGACAGAGTTGCGGTCGTTCTTAGGCCTAACTAACTACTATAGGAAGTTCGTGAGAAACTTCTCCACTATCGCCGCTCCCTTGCGCAGGTTGCTAAAGAAAGAGGCAATCTGGCAATGAGACAAAGATTGTACGTCTGCGCTAAAGAGACTGAAGTGCTCGCTAAAAGAAAACCTTGTCCTCAAGGTAGCTGATCCGTCCTTGCCATTTGTCGTTACCACGGACGCGAGTCAGTATGGAATAGGCGCCGTGTTGCAGCAAGACGACAGCAAGACGACGGCAATGGCTATAGACCCGTGGAGTTCA